GGGGGGTCTCGATTTTTAGGGCCTTTACGAGCCTTTCCCATAACCGTGCCGAGCAGCTGGGAAAGATGTACCTGGGAAAGCCGCTGGAGAACAGTAACAGGCGTTCCTGTCCCATGGGCTAATCCGTGGGGAAAAGGATGAGCTGCGTTAACTGGGATAAAACTTGCTATTGCAGTATAATGTAGGCTCTTCCTTCACAATCAGCGATGAGGGTATTTGATACTTCTAGACCATGATATAATATTAAAAAAAGTGTTTTTTCCACATTATTCTCCCTTTAAAATAAAATTTTAATTCAGACAGGTTATCTCATCTTATGAGAACAGCATTTACTCGATGAGGGGCCTTTTTTTCCCCACTTTCACCTCTGCTGGATGGCCTTGGCTTTAGAAGATCCTGGGCCCATTTGTGCTCTTGTGTTAAGAGTAAACCACATCAGGTTCAATGTTTGTGGCCCGCCCTTCTTCAAAACTATTTGGGCCAATGTATAGCTCAAGTATTTCTGGTCTATTTTTCTGTTGTTAGGAGCTGCCAAGTGCAGCAAAAGCCAACTAACCTGGGATGAAAGGAAAATAAATACTCTAATGCATCTACCTTATTAATTTTGATACTCTAAACCCAAATTAATATCAATTTATTATGTTGTTTTCTAGCTTCAATTTCCATAGCTTCATTCTTTGTAATACTTGTGTATATGAGTCTGGTTTTTTTATTTCGTGCTCAAGTTTTAAAGTGTTTTAAAATGCTATCACTCCGTAGATGAAAATCTTTTCAAGTTGATGTATTCACTACGTTTGGAAGCTGTACAGCCATCAGCTTCTTAGCTGCTCTGCTTGCTGATACTGAAGAATCTAGGATTTTTGGTAAGAGAGCATGACTTTTGTTAGTATCTTCAACATTAAAACTTTATCTGAAGGACTCTGCCTCAGAACATTTGGTTTCTGACAAAAGGCAACAGGGTGTTGCAGAACTGCCTTGTAGGTTACACTGAGTACGTGAGTGCCTGGGATCCCGACCTGTCTGTCTTTATGGTGAACCTTCTTTTGTTCCAGGGCAGGAATATGAAACTAGACTTCAGTACTTGTGAGCATTTGATGTGTTCTTAACTGTAACAGAATGGGCTGGGGGGCAAGAAAGGGGAGTAGGAAAAAAAACTCTTGTGTTTAATGTGCGGGTTTTCAAAATGTTTGTATTGCTTCAGAAAGTCATGAAAGATAAACTAGATACAAACAAGTTAATTCTTGAATGTTTTCGCTTTACAATTAATTTAGACTATTCAAAATGAATGAACATCCTAAAAAGAGGAAAAGGAAGACTCTACATCCTTCTCGATATTCAGGTCAGTCTAGAGCTTGAGTTATGTACACTTTAGTAAGCTTATTTTTTCTCAGAATAATTACTTTATGAGAAGGGACCACATGTGCTAATACATGGAAGATCAGTAACATAAAGGGTGGGATAAGAACTCTTGGTCTGAATGTATTGAGTACCCGCTCTGCATGCTCCATTGTTAAGCCACTTCCAGTCAATGCATCTGAGCAGTTCTGTTCTGTACTCCCTGCAAATGGGGAAACTTGCTCAAGCTACAAAATGAAGATGATTCTACTAACACACAAGGGGAGGAATTTTGTAAAAGTTGGGATGGGGGTGTCCAGAAGTGTTCATCGCTGAACAAACTGTGTTCCTGTCACTGTCTTCAGTGGGAGCGGAGTTTGATAATGACTGTATCTGATACTCCGCACATCAGGAGAGCAGCTGGAAGTTGTAAATCACAACAGGAATGTTACCAGGCCAGCACAGAATTCTCACAACACAAGAAGTAAAAATGCAGCTGGCAAGGAAAATTTTGGTGAACATGAAATACACGTGTAGCTACATCAATGTGTTAGTATAAAAACTTCTTCTTTTTTTAAGATTCTTCAGGTGCAAGCAAATACATAGACAACAGTGGAATTTTTTCTGACCACTGCTATAGCGTCTGTTCTATGAAACAGCCAGATATAAAGTTTTTTGAAAACAGAGGTAAGAGTACATTTTGGGGTCTTGTTCTGCAATTCTTTATTAACTTCTCATGCTCCTATTCATAGAAGTAAATAGAATACAAAATGTGTAGTGGGTGACTTCTGAGCATCGTTGTGATTGGATATGCCTTAGACTGGTGGAAGGTGGTTTAATCATTGCAATTGAAATACAGGTTTCAAAGTAGAAATGATGACGACAAAAAGATCCTTCCATTTTACAGCGTTTCTAATGACAATTAGTCTTATTTATCTAAATATCCACTAGCTAGGTAATGTAAAGCTGATGTAAATAACCTAAGAGTTCAATGGAATTTACCAGCAATTGCATTGAACTGTACTTAGGGAAAACAAAGTGCCTTTTTATACAACATCTACTAATGGATGTAAAGTTTAGCAGAGCAAACATGAGGATGGATTTTTATTATATTTATTTTTCTTTTCACTCTAATAAATTAGCCAGCAAGTCTCCAGAAGTCTTACAAAGTATTATATTTTAAAATGTGATGTCCAGAAATATTTAAGAATATTTTTTAAAATTGTCTTTCAAATCTAAAGTTTTATTTAAGTTTTTTCCAGTATAATTAATTTACCATTTTTTGCTGAAATTTTAAAGACAGAGTTGCCACCTTGTGAATTCTTCTGTTATCATCTGTATGTATAGAAATAATTTCTGAGGTATTTATAGTTACTGTCTTTAATGTAGGTTATGATGTGATTAGTATATAAAGATAAATTTATGCAACTAGAATAACTGAATAGTAAATAAGATCTATGGTTAAAGAATCATGATGATGCTAGCATAGACAAATGATGACAAGATAATCCTTTTATCTTTGCAGGTAGATTCCACAGTCCTGTGCAGAGCCTAGACACAGATGATGACGGGAGTCCAGTGCATGCTGGGACTTCTCAGTGGAGTGGGTCACATTCAAATGTTGTGGGGTTGCACTATACAGACCCCAAAAAGAAGGATAAAGGTAAAGGTAAAGGTGTATTTGCAGCTTAGGTGCTGGGAAGCTGGAGAGCATGGCTGCTGGCTTTTTATGTAACTTTTTGCTTTGACAGAAGAGGTGAAGGATTTGTAGTTTACGTTATTTATTTGTTAAACATAATACATAGTCTGGCTGGGGAAAAATAAGTGCTTTTTGCATTTGTACGTTGCTACAACTAACTGAAAAGTTAAATATGGACCCAGGTGTTTTGCAGGGTTTTTTTAAACTTTTGCTTTTATTATCTATTTCCTTCTGCAGATAAAGGTACTAATAATGGAATGTGCAGAGACTTATGTGATTCACCTATATTCAGTGACAGTCCTACAGAAGAAGAGAAACCTCTAGATATTCAAACTGTAGAAATTTCTACAACAGAAGTGAATGCTGTAGAAGTTCACGATATAGAAACACAGACTGTGTCACCTGAGAAGCTAGAAGCTGAGGACCTAGAGGAAATCCCTCTGGAAACCTGTAAAATCTTTGAGAAGAACCAGGCTTTGAATATCACAGCTCAACAGAAATGGCCTTTGCTGAGAGCCAACAGCAGTGGCTTATACAAGTGTGAGCTCTGTGACTTTAATAGCAAGTACTTTTCTGATTTAAAGCAGCACATGATCCTGAAGCATAAGACGTGTACAGACACTCATGTCTGTAAAGTTTGTAAAGAAAGCTTCTCCAGCAAAGTGCTGCTCATTGAACATGTAAAACTACATGAGGAGGATCCATACATCTGTAAATACTGCGATTACAAAACAGTGATATTTGAGAATCTGAGTCAGCACATAGCAGACACTCACTTCAATGACCACCTTTATTGGTGTGAGCAGTGCGATATGCAGTTCTCCTCGAGCAGCGAGTTGTACCTACATTTCCAGGAACACAGCTGTGACGAGCAGTATTTGTGTCAGTTCTGCGAGCATGAAACAAATGATCCAGAAGATCTGCATAGCCATGTGGTGAACGAACATGCATGTCGACTGATAGAGTTAAGCGACAGCTATAATAACAAGGAGCGCGGACAGTACAGTCTCATAAACAAAATCAGTTTTGACAAATGCAAAAACTTCTTTGTGTGCCAAGTGTGTGGCTTTAGGAGCAGGCTGCATACAAATGTCAACAGGCACGTAGCGATTGAACACACCAAAATATTCCCTCATGTTTGTGATGACTGTGGGAAGGGCTTTTCAGGTATGTTGGAATATTGCAAGCATTTAAGCTCTCATTTATCTGAAGGGATTTATTTGTGTCAATACTGTGAATATTCAACAGGACAGATTGAAGACCTTAAAACTCATTTGGATTTCAGGCATTCAGCAGAGTTACCTCATAAATGTACTGATTGTTTAATGAGGTTTGGAAATGAAAAAGATCTTTTAAGTCATCTTCAGATACATGAGACAGCTTGATTACTTTCTTGCCCTGTAATCAATTTGTTAGAATTGGAATTAATTTCCAGTCACTAAAATGTGGTATTAAATACGATTTTAACAGCAATTATACAATTCTAATGTTTTTCTCTTTATATCAGCAAAGCATGCATAACAACTTGGTGGTGTGAATTTCCTTACCTAGGGGTTTCAATAGGAATAATCACTTTAGTGTGATGGATCAGATTTTGCGGGGAGGGACAGTGGGAGTAGTTGCACGTTGTAATAGCAATTCTGATGGTCATCCCGCACTTTCACATCTAATGTACAAGAGCAGCTCTCTCAAGTTTAAAAAGGGACAAAGAGAAAATCAACATCTAGTTCCATGCTTAAGTAACACCATACTGATCTCAACTGCATATCCAGCTCATGTTATCCTCTGTGGCAGCAGGTCATTGTGCTGATGTTTAACAAATTGCACCAGCCTGCCAAAGATAAGGGTGTTCCAAAAATTCTCAGGCATGGATGTCTCCAAATTCACATACCAGCCTGCATTTCCCACCTCATACTCTTGATAAGCTTTTAAAATTGTCCTGTTTTTCTCTTGGGGTACCTATCCGACCTCATCGTTCGGTTTCTTTGTTCAGTGTTTAATTTCAACTCCTGTCTGTGGGACTATCCAACAACCCTCTCTTCCGCACATGTACTGCAGACCTCCCACACGAGTTTTGTCTGCTTTATTTACCTTCAGTTCCTATCTTTTAATGCACCAAGTAGACACATATTGCTGGTGTGTAGATTGGGTCATGTTTTATGGGGTAACTGTAAGGGAATTTGCAAAGTGATCCAGCTGAGAATGTACACAGAGTGCAATTTTCATATCTAAAATCCTAATTTAGCTCTCACTGAAATGATGTATGTCACCAACCTCATTTAGAGCAAGCCTCTATTATTTTATACTATTATAATTCTGTATATTTATAATTAGCTTTCCACCGCTAATAATATGAGGACAGTTATTTTAATTCTGTAAATTTTAAACCTCCTATATACTGGCTTAAAACAATGATACAGTACAAAAATTTTATTGACTCTAATCACTTTCAAATGATTTCACACATCTGTTGAGATTAGATAGTGCTGTCCTGCCATTATAATCATTAGAAGTGAATTTTTATAATTCATTCTGTAGCTGTATTTCTGAGTGGATACTTGGACAGATAAAAATAAGGGTGAGGTCATTTAGATTGTGCTAGTTATCAGGGTGAAATTACCCATAAATTAGTGGTAGAGTTTACATTTCTTTCTGCATCGATTGTAAATTTGTAATGTAAGATTGTCTAATGCAAGCTTTGTATAGATATAATTAATGTATAAAACATTTCTTGATCAGTCGAGATTTGGTGTTACCAGCTTCAAGGCGTGCAAGGGTCTTTGCATTTGATTTTTAAAGCTAAGGATAAAAATTGGCTGAATATAGTCAGTTTATGGAAGTTCTAATTTCCAGAGAAGTATTTCTGGAAAGCCTGCTTATGAACCAGTTAGTGTATATTTCTTTGTAGGAGGCAAGACCATTTTCGTCATTTTGAAATGCTGATTTACTACTAAATCTTCTGTGTAGTCATTGAAAAGCGCAACCTGATGGTGACCCGACTGTGTTTTATTAGTCCGTTGTATAGAGAATGACAATGTCTCTGGTAAATTGCCTATTTCCTATTTTGAACACATTCATCCTGGCTGGCTTAAAATGGTACCAATAATATAGTTAACAAAGCACTAATAAGAATTATTTCATATATGGAAAGTTAATTTTGTTCATATGGGTGTAACTGAGAGGGGGGAATGCTGGTTCTCTTAAAACCCTGCTCTTGGTGACAACACAGGTGGAATGGCACAGTTGAGCTCTGGAGAGAAAGCCGCTCCAGGGAACAGTGACAAGAAGTGGAAAAAAGACATTTAAAAAAAACCCAAAAATAAATAAGTGGGCTTAAGAAGCGTGTATGTTTGTATAGACCAGCATTGTGCCCCGTACAGGAAAAGTGGTCTCTTGTAAAAGCACAGAGCCCTGTGATACAGAAAACTTGCTTGTTGACTCCTGAATAACTTCATTTCTATCTTTGAGTTGCGTTATTTCTAACTCTAAACTGGGAACGAAAAGAATACCCCACAGGAATGTTATGAAGCCAAATCATTCCTAAAATGCATCCCACAGCATCTAATTGGGAAATATATTCAAGTTTGTCTTAGGTTAGATTTTCTAAGTAAGGTACTAATGTTAGTATTTTCTTTTTAATACCTATGAGAAAGTAAATGGAAATGTACAGAAGTAACTCATCTCATTTTACCTTAGCAGGAACACAAGTAGCATATTGGCTTCCGCATGATCAGCATGCTAAAATAAGGAAGATATTGAGTAGTAGAAAAAAATAGGTAATGAGTGGAGTCTGTCTAGAAGTTGGAAGGCCGAAAGGAATGACTGTACATGCCAAGGACAGTGTGTTGTTTCCATCGAAGGGAAGACAAGAGTTTGGTTTATTTATGTGAAGCGCGTAAGTGGAAGGTCAGTGCCCTGACATTGCTGCACCGAGGTGAACTGAGAGCACGTGAATGCAGCTGGTCCGATACTGCCAGACTTCAGTCTTCTTCAACCCTATAGCTTGAGCAATTCATCTCAGTCTTGAATGAGAGAAATTAACTAGTAATCAGAAGTATGCCAGTGTTTTTTCTGAGACACTCAGTAAGTGTATCAAATTCAGTTGTTTGTTACTCATTACACTGATACCTGCAAGGTTCATCTACTTCAGGAACAGCATTCTAACTAGAAGCTATACAAAAACATGAGATTGGGTTTGGAAGTATTTTGTATTTGGAAGTAATTTGTATTTGATTCTCTGCTTTTCAGACTTCTGAGTCTTTAGGCTGGATGTGTGCCGTGTATTTCAGCTTCCCGATCATGTTTGTTATTGAACAAAAGAACTTTTTTATATGAAAGATTGTTGACTTCAAAACAAAATTTAAATCCCACCAATTATTGCAAGAACTTAAAATACAGCAAATTAGTAATTCTCAAATAATGTGTTCTCTATAATGCTTATTAAGTGTCGTTGATTTTCGTTGTTTGTGGTTCTCGTTTTCTTATGCTCTTGTATCAAATGTATAAATTATCAGTGCTTTTTAACGCTTGAAAGTACTTAGCGTGTGTCATTTTAGCTGACTTTGATTAAACCGTGGTGCTGACAGCATGCAGAAACCCAAAGTCATGCTTCGTTGTCTTTGTTTTGGATCCCCACGAAAACCATGATCCCCGAGTTGAAGGCTCGGAGGCAGACTTTACCGTAATTTCAGGTGTACAGGGGCAGGTACCGTTTAAGCTCGGACGCCTTCCACCTCAGGGGCCCTCCCGCCTGCCGCTGCACTGCGCAGCGGCCTCCAAAAAGCCGGACAGGAGCGTGCAGAGCTATTGCGAGCCGTCCGTGGGTGACTTACGCGGCTCCTCTTCCCGGGGCCGAGGGGCAGCGGGCCGGGACGCGGGGGTATTTCCCGTGTCAGCCCGGGCCCGTCTCCATTTCACAACCAGCCGCGCCGCCTCTCCCCGCTCCTCCTCTGCCCTTGCTGAAGATGGCGGCCG